ACAAACACACCATGAGTGTCATTAACATAACACAACATTTGCCAATGAATACGAGGTTTGCGGAAACACCAAGTGGGAATAATTTCTCAAATTAAGAGAATGGTTCTGAAAAGAACCAGAGGTATAAACGTGACGTTCTGGTCAGTATGCTCTGACTGTCTGCTGGAGAGTGCCCCGTGTGTGAGAAATATTTCCTAGACGGTAGTTTGTAGCTATTGTCAAAGTTCCCAAGAAGCTGAAAAATCCAGGTTTTTTCGACATCATAACTTGGTATTATGTCCTTGGCGAGCAAATATCCCTTACGAAAATGTCCTGTGTTTTTACCACACAAAAATACCGCAGGACATTACCACAGGAAATGTCCTGTGCTTTTTTGGGACATTACCACAGGAACATTACCACACGTACCACAGGCATTGCCACAGGAATATTACTACAGGAATCACAGCCATGTTACCAGAGGAATTTTACCACAGGACAGGCGCAAGTTACCACAGGCATTTTACCACAGGTACCGCAGGCACGTTACCACAGGAATATTACCACAGGTACCACAGGCACGTTACCACAGGAATTTTACCACAGGTACCACAGGCAAATTACTACAGGAATATTACCACAGGTACCACATGCACTTTACCACAGGAATATTACCACAGGTACCACAGGCGCGTTACCGCAGGAATGTTACCACAGGACAGGTGCACGTTACACCGTAAATATTAACAGTAATGGAAAAAAAGGAAAACAAGGAAAACAAAGACTTAAAATTGTGCTTGTTATAAGTAGGACCTGTACGCTATATTTTCACTCTCTTTTGGACATGGACCTCTTATGCATCTTTCGCTCGTTAGATAGCTTGTTGCGAGCAACCTCCTTGAGCTACTTCATCTCGATTGACGGAAACCGGCTCTTGACTTTGTCTGTGATTTGACAAAAGCAGGGGTGTTTTTTAAATTAAATACAAAGCAACTTAAAAAGGCAAGGAAATAAATGAAAGCAACCATGTACAAGCAGGAGTGAGATTGGCAATAAATAAAAACATCCATGAAAGCTGTAGGCCTACCGTATATTGTTTGGTGTACGGTTTGCATTTAAAGACACTTCTTTGAATTGTCTTCACTATTATGGGTCTACATGTCATGTATATCCGCTTTTACACATACATGTAAAAAAAAGGGCAACATCTTGGGAATTCCAGATTATATTGTCTTAACAAGTCCTGATATCAGGTAAAATCCTGACAAATCTCTGCCCTGCACAAAGTTGAAAAGGAATAACAATGTGACTATCAAAAAGATGTGATCAAGCTACAAGAGTCTTTTGTCTGGAATTTTCATTTGGAAATACAGGCCAAAATAGGGCCACTTCATCACATCACTTCATCACATCTCTTGGTGTTCTGACTTCCATAATTTTTGAACTAAAAATGGTATCACCATGTGGTTTTCACAGCAGTAATGCGGAGATTGTGCTCTTTTCGAATCTGTAATATCAAATACCCAACTTGAATAACAATTGACGTGTAGATCAGCAGTAAAATAACAATATGCATTTTTCAGTTGGAAAGAAAAGTTAATTTTGTTTCCTAGGCTTACCAAAGATCTCATCCCTTTTTTGGCAATTCAATTGCGGCTTGGCCTCTACCTCTACCGCACCATTAGCATTGGAGCAGGACCCAGTGAGGGAGTGGGTGGCCATCTCCTCCCTGCCGAATGATTTAGTCATCAGGTCCTGGAGAAATGTAGGGGCAGTGTAGTTTGTACATGTAGAAGTAGTTGCTACATGTTGTTTTGGCGTGAGAGGTCTGTTTTTTTCTGTATGGTCAGTGAAAAAGGAACATAGAGCATATTACATTGTACGCATTTATATAATTGCTAACCAGCTTAATAACTGTTACTTGATGAGATCCTAAAAAGGCCCAAGACATAATTCTATGTTCTTATTTCTGACCAATCCTCTTTTGAGCTTCCGACCCAAGAAAGACAATAATGTTTTTTAGGCCGCCCACCCTGTCTTTAATTTCATACCTAGAAAAAAAATCCATTTACAGTACTTTTCAAAATTCTACAAACGTGTTACAAGTTTTTTTAAAAATGGTACAGTCGAAAACGATTTTTTTTTTCAATATTAAATCTCAACAAAAGAAAGTCGTTTTGAGCATCACATTAAAGAAAAAAGACCAGGCCTTCCAATACTTTTTGTCTCATCTCATTTGCTTTTGTCAATCCAGAGATAACTTCAGTTTACTGAGGAACACAAAAATCAAGTTTGTGCCACTTTTTGGTCCAGTGAGAACGGTGAAAGAATTAGTTAAGCAAAACGTTATTCACACTTGAACAGATTTGAAATTCAAAGAAAGGATTATTTTCATTTGTTTATTATTTATGTAAAGAAAATATTTATCACTGAACTTATTATATTATTAAAGCTTGTATCGAGAAAACCAGACTTCCTTTGTGTACTTTAATCAGTGTTTTGTTTCTTTTGCCAAGTTGCAATCTTTTGTGAGCTTCAAGACAGCATGGCACAGTACTTGAAACAACTCTGCCCATGCATAAAAGTGGCACAAAATCGATTTTGGTGTATCGCACTAAATTGATTATATCTCTGCATTGACAAAAGCAAATAAGATCAAACAAACACTATTGGAAAGCCCAGTCTTTGTTCTTTAATATTATGCCAAGTAAGAATGACTTATTTTGAAATTTCATAAATTACCAATTTTTTTTCTGATTGTACCATTTTTGTTTAAAGACGGGCTGTATAGTAAACAGTTCACGTCATTTAATCAGGCCTTTTTCTTTGATATGCGCTTAACTTGAAGATGTACAAATGTACATGCAATTTTCACCCACCTCATCACTTAAACATGACTGTGTAGTAGATTGCCGAATCGGTGTGTAACAGGAAAATCCACTAGTGCTTGGCTTTTGTAGGCTTTTAATCTGCTGTAGCAGATCTGGAAGTTCTGAAATACAGACAGAACTGATGAATTAAAGTCAAAGGTTTACTGTATAACTGCACCAAGCTAGGCATTAAGGTCAATGTAAATTTCACAACATGTACATTTAAAATAAACGAAATGAAAATTAATAGTACATTTTCCTTGGATGTTTGTCCATTATATGTGGAGTGAAGTTAGAAGCAATATGTTTTGGGCTGTGATATGTCTGCATCTGGTTTGTGACAGTCACATGACAGATGTTGAATCTTCACTTTTCTTAGAGAGACACCAGTTATACAGTGAATCTTCCTTGTCCGTGCCAGTGTCTTGCCATCTCAATCTGGCCTATTTCTGTTAAGTTAGGCGTGTCTTGAGTGACAACATTCTCCATCTGCAAGCTTTGCTGGCTTTGTCAACTTTTCTTGGCAAAACTTGTTGAAGTACCCTGCATTGATGATAACATACTCTTCACTTTGCACTGCTCTCTCTGCTGCTTGTTTTAGCACTCCCCCTTCTCCATCACATGGCACTTTGCCATGTCTAGAGCTGAACAAGTGGTGCTCTGTAGGAAAACGATGATCTTCTTTGCTGTATGACAAATCAACGAATGGTGTCTTCAATTTATATTTCTCAGCACATACATCCGTAAACTGCATGACTCTTTTGACAGACAACTTCCGCACATTAACCAAATGATCATGTACATGTAGAGCAATTTTTTGTTTCCCCTGGGTTGCTGGTGGGTGTGTGGTGGTAAAAGAAATTTGGTCAAAACTTGACCCTGCGAGCGCAAAGCCCTTTGCGGCATGGGTTGCTGGGCCCGCTGAAGGGCCTTGGAAAATTTGAATTCTAAACATTCTGTGGTGCAATTTGAGACATTTCCTGGCCACTTTCCTCGTACTTTTTGGGGGCAGTAGCTGTCAAGATTATAAGTTAAAGTTATATTGATTTGATCAAATATAAACAGACTCTTGTTTTCTTCCTTACTCAAACTTGTTGTAAGTGTTCTTATTCATTGGTACAACTGACTGACAAGTGAATTTGGAACTGAAAGGGATTTTACCAGTACATGATTGGCTTTTGCAAGATATGCCATCAATTTGCTGTAAGTTTCAAGCACTTCTAAATTCCACCACAAATGTTGCACTTGGCATTACTGCATTTGACCCTCCGGTTCGGATTTTTGGTGAAGAATGCCCGCACCATCTTTCAAAAATTTGTGCTGCAGTGAGCAAGTGAAAGATGAAATGATGAAGGGCTTGGTAAGCTATGGAATTCAAACCACTAAAAATGATCATGTTTGAATCTCCTACCTTGAATTCAGAAGAATATAGAGAATACGAGAAGGACTCCCACTCATTTGTGGCAGCTGTCGTCACTTCTTTGTTGCTACCTGGAGCCTTGGTTCTTGTGAGCAGCCACGTAGCCAGGGTTCCAATCTCCTGGAATCCATACTCTGCATCATTGATGAGCTCTGCAGCTTGGATTGGGTCAAATATCTTGTTAAATCACTCAATATCCTTGGAGTCGGGCAGCCTTTTCTTTATGTTTGCTGCCACGCTGTCCACAAAAGTAGTGGCAACCTGAAATATGGAAAATAAATAAGGATCATGAAGTGATTTCTTTGTAATTTAAATTGGTATTTGAATATAATCAAAGTTAACCACCGCTTTGCGAATTGATTGACTGTTTTTATTGAATCTAAGCTGATCAATGAAGCTTAGCCACTTCTCCTTACTGAACACAATTCCTGACTCATGTAGTTTTCCGTGTTGTCCGAGCCAGTTACATGTAGCGGTAGTTCTGTTCTTAGCATAGGGCGTGGTGGCAACTGCTTCACAGGTGATATGGTTGATGACACCTACAGAAAATTCCAAATGTTTATTTTATCAGGCCAAGCAAAAAAATTGTGTGTTTACAGTAACGGCCTGAAAAAAATCCAGGTAGGTAGGTAGGGAAATAATTTTATTTTGTATTTTTTTTTTCAGGGAAGAAAGTATTCTGTATTTATTCAGTGCACTCTTTGTACTTTAAAAAAAACAACGATGACACATGGCGGGTTTGTAGGCTTCGTGATGGTAAGAAGCTCACTAGGCCCTATGTAAATTAACTCTCAATGAGATACATGTAAAGTCAACTTGGGGTCACAAAATACTAAAATAAAAAAAAACGTTTTTCACTTACGGATGTACATCTGCTTCCGTCGCATATTTTGTAGGCGGGTTCTTTCTGATGGATTCTGAGTGATCAATGAGAGGAAAACAATGACATTAGATGTACTTGCTGGAAACGTATTACCAGGTCACACTGCTGAATACAACAGCAACAGGCAATGGGCAAAGTGAGCAGCATGCTTAGGGGAGAGATCCCAAATCCACACCAAAAATAGGCGAGATTACGTACAATAACACATTTGAAAAAGACTGTACAATTATTTTGGTACACTTCTCTAAATTAACGTTTTAAATTGATACACATTGGCATTTACTGAAGGTAGTTCACGTGGAATGCTTACGTACTGGTTGCAGAGCTTTGTGGTATAGGGTGTCTAAATCAAGCGCGACGGAAGAATTTTGAATGTGCCGGGGTTCAAAACTCTAGCCAGAGAATCATGGTGCTTCTGTCCTTCAGCAAGACACTTTCCTGCAATTGGTTCTCTCCATGCAGAAGCAATTTGGAAACTGGTGAGGGCAGTGATATGTTTGGTTTAATTAGCCCGAGGAGCTAAGACTTTTCAAGAAATGATGTGTGGGCCCTGATGAGCAGGGGTAATAGCTGTAGTGTCTGAAGCACCGTCTTTGATGATATTGGTAGTCGATCTTCATTGTCTTGAATGCCCTTTATTGACAAAAGACATTTTCAGAAGTACTTACTCTCTATAACAGCCCTCATCCGTAGAGACTTGAACGATCTCTTCCCACATTGTCCCGTCCAGTTAATTTGACGAGCGAGTCTGTTGGTAATGGTCTTATCAAAGATGAGGTTGAGGCAGTTGTATACGGTACTTCCACCGCAAGCTGCCCATGACACGACCTACAAATAATATTAAGCAGAGAATGAGCTCAAACACTATTTTTCCTTTGTGTCTTAAGTTTCTGGTAGCCCTTCGGAAGGTGATAACCCTCTGGTGGACAAATAAATATAGAACCCAAATCATTTAGAAATTTGGATGCATTTTCAAAAGAAAAACACATACTGTAGCCAAGAAAAAGTACATGAAAATGAAGTTTGGCTGTTGTATGAGCTTCTCGTACGTGTAAGAGACTTTAACTTAATCAAATTGATAAATAGCAATTTGAAAAATTTGATGCAATGATTTTCAAATGCACCAACACAGATTATACATTAAAAACAGTCTATCCATACCAGGTGCCTCTCTAGCTCCTTGTCTGTCTCCAGATTTTTTTTCTAGTGAAGTCAGTTCATCGAGTGTATCCATTGGAAATACCAAACCATCCGGCATTACAAACTCATCGTCCACTTGATTGGTCTCACTGAGTTGTCGAGACAGCTGATGGAGTTGCTTTTTAATGCTGCACATATCTGTTTTCAGCTCGGTCAAGAGCTTGACGATTAAGCACACAGTTGCTGAAATGTATTTAAAAAAAGGAATATAAATAAAAATTGGGTTTTCTGTATCTTGAGATCGGAGTAGTGTCTTGTCAGAGTCAAATACCCGGTAGGTATTGCATACCATTCTCTTGGTTGAGGGAGGTTGTTGCTGGTACGGGGGATATGGGTGTCCTGGCTGCAGTTTTTACTGTCCGTGTCTGAGCAGGTGTGGATGTCCGGGCTTGGTGGGTCGTAGTCAATGTCGATGGCTCCTCAGATGTCAAAAATAAGCATGCCTTGTGGAGTAGAGCCTTTCTGACCAGATGTCATCATTGAGAGAAGAGTTGGTAGAGGTGGAGGACGTGGCACTGATTCTTCATCAGTAACCATGTCTTCCTCCGAATCTGAGGTAACATATCTTCTGGTTTTCCTAAAATTCAAACATAAATATAAACGCAAGCATTCATATGCCATTTTCACCCAGGATTTAAGGGATCTATACACTAAACCGAAACTTACTTTCCAATTTGTTCAAAAGCTCAGTAGTATGCATTTTTTTGCATTGTGTTTCAATCCTTCCCTACCACGTAGACTTTTTTACATGAGATGCAAAGTACTACGTACATTGCTAATGCACATCAGGCAGGGCGAAACCTTTCATATAATGATCCCCAGCTGAATTTACATCATGAATGCCTTACCATTCACGAATACACGCACAGACATGGGCACAGTCAAATTACCACTTTTTCCTTTTGGAAGGACCGTCATCAGACTGCAGGTCAGAATCATCTTCAGCGTGTCAATAGTACCGTACTTGTGGTCTCTTGTACGAATCTAAAATAGCAACAACAAAAATTGTAATAAATTAGTTTGACAGTTTCTCTCTTCTGATTATTTAAGTGACATGGGGTGCTTTAATGGGCACCGAGACAGAATATATTCCTTGTTAATATTAGTCATGGGACCACATAATAGTCTTGGCATAAAGTACTGAAGATGAAGTTTAAGTGTAAATATTAAACATGTTTTTGGCGATGTACTCCTTTTTGGCCACAATGACCAAAATTTAAAAAAAAGAAAGAAATAAACTTACATTCTGCAGCTGTTAACAACTAACCTGTCTCGGACAATACTCTAATGGCATGAACTGTCCAGTCTGCCTCCGGCTTCTGGGCAGTTCGCACGGCTTTCTCAAGACGGACTGAGGACCTAACTGGAGGCCAGTAGCATTGTGTGTCACTCAACTTCCAACTGGTACAAATAACGGCCACTACGTCTTCATCTGTAAACACCACTACCGAGAACCCCATGCTGAAAGATGAAGAAGAATTTTACTGATTATCTCATCATTCTCCCATGGCACAGAGTTATTATTTTTGCTTTAACACAGGGATTGTTACCATCCAAATTACCCAAAACAATTTACCAGGGAAAATTCTAGCAACTACTGAACGCATAAACAAAATCTTACAATACTGTGGCGGACTTGGTCTTTGGACTCACACCCTTGCGTATTGTTTTTGAGCCCTATTATTCCCCGTTTGTTGAAAATATACCAACGGGCAAGGAATTGAGAACTACTCTGCCTTATACATGGTACACAGTTTGCAAATAAATGTGGAACACACAACCGAGTTAGAAACAACAACTCACATCTGGTTTATTTCTGGTGTTGAAATATGATCAGTGTATGGGTACGACAATATACCGGTATGAGGTTTAAATAATGAGGTTTGCTATATGACACGCCATAAACTTATCTCTTACATGAGGTTTGTGCCAAGACTGAGGGTTAATTCAACAACTTTATGTAAATTAGTAAACCTCTGTCAATAATTCCAGGAAGTAAACCTCACAGAGTGGAGGGTTATTTTCCCTACCAAACCTCTCAAATGTACCTCTAATAATCAGCTCACGTTGCAACAGTGGGCCCCAGGTTAGTTTATTCCCACTAACCTTAACCAACTTGTGGACCGATAAGGTCGGGGAGCTCTCGGTAAACCTCTAGGGTCAAAGACAATAGATCACACGGACTAAACCTCGACACAAAGTTACCGAAACGGCAACCGTATTTCCCAATCTGCCTACTGATCTTTCAGCCTTATCTAACCCAACAACTACACGAGATCCACTCTACCCAAACACCACACACTCCCCTGCAATTTAATGTTTCACAGCTCTGCCAGTCCCTAAGCAATTATGCTCCGCTATAACTTCCTTATCCCTGGTAAATAATACTGCTGACGGCGGCCGGCAACACACAAAGCACTTCACAGCTACAGGAGGAACGGGTCAGCTTCAGCTCTGCAATCACAACCTCTCGTCCCGGACTGAGGTTGTGCAGTTCAAGAGTATAAACCTCTCGATTGAACCACGTTGCTCTGACTCACATACGATGTTTACTCATCGATGGCTGGATTGCAACTGACGAAAAACTTACAGTTTGTGCGTGTTTGAGGGCGCACTTTGCCTCTTTACAATTAAAGGAATGAGGTTCGCCATCCAGGGGAAACACTGATTTTACTTCAAATTTTACCAAATCGCCCCTTGATATTCTTTGATTAACTACATAACTTCGCAAGTTTTCAAATTCATCCATTACAATGTTGACCTTTGCTTCCAACTGTGACGTTATCAAACCGGAAGTTAGGTGTTATTAATACATACACTTATGTTTTCTATAATTTCATACGTTATTTAACCTCACAATGATTATTTATCCACTCCAAACTAAATCAGTATTTACTGTCTGTTTTTTTTATTGACGTCATCCAACGTGTGTGCATAGAATGTTTACTGAAATTCATCACACCATTAAAGATACATTATAAAACAAAAATATTTGACTGTACTGGAAAGGATTAATTTCGTAATCTTTTGTTCTTACATATATTAACATATTCATAACTTACAACGTCTCCAGTCATTTTTATTATTTCTAAAACAGGCAACAGGAAAAATGGTATGAAAAAGCCATTGTGTCATATAGTGTATGAGTACATTTTGTTTGTGGTGCCTATACATCACCAACTATACATTACCGCTACTTTTTAAATATTTTAACAATGTGACAATGTACATGGATCAATTAACTGACAATAATAATGTATGTTGTCACGGATATGGCACACTGATGAATGGCCATTGAAATCATCTTCGCATCACATTCAATTTGATAAGCTGTACATCAACTGGCTTCATTTAATATACTAACATACACACCTTGATTATCTTCTTTTTCTTCTTCGGCAATCCCTCTATTGAGTAAAATGTCTCTTTGGTCACTGTAAAGAAATGCCTGTGTCAAAACGAACTTGTAAACGGCTTCAAACTCCTTTATTTGGGTTCAGCTGGGTTCGAAATCTATGAAGATACAAACATAATCTTAGAATGAGTAAACATAAACAAATAATACTAAAAAGCCTCTAATAACACGTCAAATGACGAGCACCTTTAACAGTAATAACGAGTAAATTCTCAATCAAGCGCAAGTCTACATGCTAAATAATTATCTGTAATATCAAGTGACTAATCTAATATGAAATCTCAAATCTTCAGTGAAATAAAAGTTTATGCAGTAAATTATGCAATATATCTGGCAATAATAAAAGGAAAACAAAGTCTGAAACTTACACTATTTTGCGACCGATAGAAGAAAAACACAGGAATCTTTGGTGTTAATCAATCAGATGTGTTACAGAAGAATATGCAGTCTCTAGGTTCATATAATTCTCCCTATAGGCCTAAATATATGCAATTCAATACTGGTCTTCACTTATTCACAACAAATCAAAGGAAAAATATTTACATGCTCTCTTCCTTTGTTCTAAAGTCACATGGAAAATTAGTGCTTGTGATGTGGCAAGAATGGTCTGGTTTCCTGACCACGAGAGATCTAAGAGTGTGTGTGTGCCAGGCACCATACTAAAGCGAATAAAACAATGGAGGGCGCTATGCACAAATAATGGTCTAAGATGTTAGAATAGTCTAAGATGCTAAAAGCAAGAAATCTAAGTTTAACTTTAAATCTTACAGTCACTGTTCATAAACTCACTAGAGTTCATTCTTATGCAATGTTCATTTCACATGAGTTCGTTGATGACTGTGGAGCCCATTTCTCATAAGGCACGTACGAAGACAGACGGGGCATCTGAACTCTGTGCATAGATGTTGGAGCTGTGCTGACACTGACAGCCTGTTGTCTCGCTTGATTGTAACTTCGTCATTGCTTACGTCTTCAAACGGTGTCGCCATGTTTTCCATTGCCTCTGCAGCTACATTGTCTTTGCTGCCCCTCCTGTAATGATAACTATCGTATGCTTAACACCATATTGATGATAGGAAATTTTAACACTTTTCCTTCATTTGCTACTGCATTAACGAAGAAAAAGACCATCTATGATTGTGCCTTCTTTTTCCTCTTGTTGGGACTACAACATTTAATTTTTTGATATGGATTATACTTGTATCAATCATTTGAAACATTTGAAACAAACACACCATGAGTGTCATTAACATAACACAACATTTGCCAATGAATACAAGGTTTGAGGAAACACCATGTGGGAATAATTTCTCAAACTAAGAGAATGGTTCTGAAAAGAACCAGAGGTATAAACTTGACGAAAAGGACTCCCACTCACTTGTGGCAGCTGTCGTCACTTCTTTGTGGCTGCCTGGAGCCTTGGTTCTTGTGAGCAGCCACATAGCAAGGATTTCAATATCCGGGAATCCATACTCTGCATCATTGATGCGCTACTTGGTCACTGTTCATAGAAGATGAGTTCATTCATGTGCAACATTCCTTTCACATGAGTTCTTTGATGACTGTGGAGCCCATTTCTCAAAAGGCACGTACGGAGACAGACGGTGCATCTGAACTCTGTGCATAGATGTTGGAGCTGTGCTGACAGCCTGTTGTCTCGCTTGATTGTAACTTTGTCATCGCTTACGTCTTCAAACGGTGTCGCCATGTTTTCCATTGCCTCTGCAGCTACATTTTCTTTGCTTCCCCCTCCTGTAATGATAACTTTTGTATGCTTAACACCATACTGATGATAACAATTCTTAACACTTTTCCTTCATTTGCTGCTGCATTAATGAAGAAAAAGACCCCCTATGAGACCAAAGACAAGTTCTTTCAAGACTTACCGCAGAACTGTTCCTATCAGAACAAAAAAAACTACTTAGTGAAAGTTGATAATAAACAGGACAAGTTTGTTTCAGAACTAAATATCTACTGAGCGACAGTAGTTATAGCCACATGGTGTTACCGCAAACCGAAACGACACCGATACTCTACCATGCAAAGCCTCAAATCTTATAGCATTAAAAATTAGTATCATATTTAATCAGCTCACATATTTACCATTGCAATATAATGGTCCACATGGCATACACCATAAATAGTGGCAGCCATGCGGAGGAACAAGGAGTACTCTTCTGTTCCCTGACACGGCAAACTGAGAGAATGGCATAAGCAGTTGCCATCCCCACTGCTCATCAGAGCAACAAAGCCAGCAGGCAGTTGTCTCAGTTTTGTTTGCCTGTTAAAAGGAATACAGAAAGAAACCATCACTTCACACCAAGATCATTTG